ACGGTGCCCCCCGCTGTCCCTGCAGAGACGGTGCAAAGTGTCACTCGGAGCACAGACCCCTGCACCCCTCGCCCCGCACCTCCCCGCGGCACGTCAGGTAGCTCTCTGCTCTGACACGCCTGTCACGGCTGCAGCGCTGCTGTGTCAACCGGGGAACGGAGACCGAGAAGGCAGAGAGCCCGCTGCTCGTTGGGATTTCTGGGCACAGACAGAGGCAGACCAGCCGCCCACAGGCCTGTTTCCTTCCCAGCCTGCCCGTCTGAGGGTTGAAAAGGAGGAGGGCAGAATCAAGGGCGACTGGAGGGCAAGTCTCACTCTGGAGCAGTGTGTCTGTCTCCTCCGCTGCCCGCTCTGCCTCGGCTCTGTTCAACGGAACGACCGAAGAGAACCGAACGGGCTTCAGTGAAACTGCCGTGTGCTGGTCGGCTTCAGGCGCGGGGCCGTCGGACACCCCGGCCCTTGTTCCCTGGAGTCCGGCAGGGGCAGCTCGAGTTTGTAGTGGCAGCCTGGCAGCTGTCAGGTCATCGTATGTGCAGTCAGCGAGTCCATTCCCCAGGAAGTCCCGCCCTTGGGGAAACCAGTGCTGCGGCCGCCGGGTGTTTCCAAATGTCCTCAGGTTGTTGCCCCCGTGTTTCGGGAGTCATCTGGGTCCACGGAGAGGCTGCTGACCTTACCGCTTTCAGCCAAAGTGCATTTCCGTGATCATTAGGAAGGCTGGCGGAGGAGGGGACGCGACCTGACCCTGGGAGCCAAGGGAAGGTCGACCCCTCCCATGTCCTGGGCCGCGGCCCAGCTCTGCACGCAGTAACGTGTGTGGATCACACACACGTGTGCGCACGCACGGTGGATCCGTGGAGAGCTCTTCGGGTGCAGAGGAAGGGACATGGCGCACGGCCCAGCCGCTCGGCGGCGTGAGGGCACCGCAGAGCCCACGGAGGCTGCAGCCTCCCTGCCCCCCACGTGTGACCGGACATGGCTCACGCAGCCTGACCCGGGTCTGTGCTTTCATCCCCCCACCCCAGGCCCCCCTCAGGTGTCGGTCCCCCGGCTACTTCCCAAGGGAGGCAGTTCCCTGTCTGCTGGTGCGCACAGCTGGGCCGTGCCTCCCAGTGCCGATCCCCGGCTGTGGTGACAGCCCTTCGCACCTGCACCCTCAGGCACCTTGGGGCCTGAAGGACCCTCAGGGGCAGCGCCTGCGGACACCACAGCGCTGACCAGCACCGTTTTTTTCTCAGGTGAAATCGCCATGTTGCATTCCTGTCCTTCCCCAGCAGACGCGTGTCACTGGGTTGGCAACACACCAAAAACTCCTGTTTCCAGCAGAGGATTAGTGTGTCGGCCCAGGGGGACGCAGGGAAGCGTGGCCTTTGACCCCGTCCCCCAGGCCGCTGCAGGCACACACTGGGCGCAGCAGAGGCGGCCCAGGGAGCGGTGGGCAGGCCGTCATCAGGGCGGGGAGAAGCCAGGGCGCTGGGACGGCCGGGATCTGCACTGATTCCCCAACACGGGACTCAGGCCGCGGTCTGCCCCTGGGCGGGTCAGCCGGGCTGCCACCTACCCCATCTCCTTAACCGTCAGTCTGGAGGGTTCCTGAAAGGGCGAACTCCGTGCCCCCAGGCCGCCCTGGAGACCCCTGTTCACAGCGGGAGCCCGGTCCCCTCCCTCCTCCAAGGCAGCGGAGCACTGGGGGACTTCTCCCACTGCGGGAACCTGAGAGTCCTGTGCAGATGTCAGTCCTACATCCCGTCACTCGCGTCACAGGGGCCATTACTGACCAGGGCAGGGCCGGCGCTGTGGCAGGAGCATCTTGCGAAGCGACGCTGTCCCTGTGGTCCTGGACCCCGGTCTCTCCGAGGGCGCCGTCCCCAGGGCTCCGCAGTTACTGGCGGAGCCCACCTGTGAGTGTGCCAGGGGAGCGAGTGTTCAGTCCCCCCCCTTCCAGACCCTCCAGACCAGGCGTTTCCTCTGTGCCAGACAGCGTCACGGTTTCTGCTGACCTCTGAACCGTCCCTCCCGCCATGCCTACGCTCTCTTCTCGGGTGGCATCAGCCTCGCTGATCACACTTTGCAAACGGCGGGTGGAGGCGTGGGTCTGAAGCTCTGGTGGCCGATGCTCTGCTCGGAGGGCACGGAGACCGGGGGGCAGAGGGGCAGGGCGCGCGGAGCCCAGGTTTCCGTGCACAGAGTCACCTGGAGGGCCCCGGGTTGGTGGGGACAGTCCCTCTGGACTGGGGTTTAAAGAACAAGCGTGACGTGATTGCAGAGCCGGTGGCCGGTCTCCCTGTGAGACAGCCTGCCCTGTTGCGTCCCCGTCCCCTGTCGTTTGCCAACAGTCACAGCCAGTCCCCAGGTCACCCCGAACCACACGTTGCGATAAAGGAAAGGGGGGACTCGATCGTCCAGGCTTTGAAAATGGCGCACGCAGTGTCCCCTGCACCCTCAGAGGGAGTGAGCCCAGGGGCGCCCCCTCCCCCGCTTCACCCGGGCACCCCAAGGTCTGGGGGAAATAAAGACAGTCTTTAACTATTTTTTCTCAAAAATACAGGTGACCCTAATCTGAAGGTTTTCAAGTCAGGGCATCTGTTTTCTGCGGTGGGGTAGCTGAACTTTCTAAACTCCTCCTGCCCCCACCGCCCCCCTCGCCCCGTCATCCTTCTGCCCCTTGGTGGCTCGCGGCGGCTCAGGCGTGAACGGCGTACGCGGCGGCCTCGGGTGAGAACCGCGGCACTGCACTCTGCACCCTGGCGCTTATTCCCAGGCAGCGGGCAGGGCGGGCCACGAGCGCAGAAAATCTCTGGATGGAACGTGTTATTTATAGCGGATGCAAAGCATCGTTATTATCAATTCTTGTTACAAAATACACAGGAAAAAATAATCCTTTTTGTTATTTAAATATGGCACGGGTACTCTGGGACGCAGTACAGATGTTGGTCCAGAGCCTCTCAGCTGCGTTCTGGATAACAGTTATTATGTTCTGTTCGTATTTGGAATTACTTGTAATAGACTGTTTATTTCTGCATGAAATTCAAATCAGGGAACACCAGTGAATGGAGATGATTGATATTATATATCCACACACATAATTTTGGAACTGGAACAATAGAAATATTCCTCTCTTAGAGAAAAACCTCTCAAACTTACTGCCCTATTGATCTCGCTGAGTGGCCCCTTGTTACTTCACTCGAAATGCCAGAACCCCATGTAATTGAATTGAGCTAACCCTTGACCCAGGATCTAAATTTGTTTTGAAAATATCTGTGTAACTGTTGAAAATCTGAAATGTAACTCTGGATTTTGAAATACCTGGCTACAACACATAAGTGTTAAAGAAAATTGTGCATGTTAGTGGACTTCTGTCCTGTGCCTTACTCGGTGAGTCCTGTTCTCGGTCTCTTTGTCCCCTTTTAGCCTGGGACCCACACGTGGCTGGGGGCGAGGGTGGTGGCGGTCACGCAGAGTCCGTGGCATCTCTAAGTGCAAACCTCACGTGTACGTGTGTTTGTGGGAAGATACAGCTCCCTCCCCATTCCTCACCAGCGTGGGGCCACCGTGGACCTTACCGTGTTGGAGATGAGACTGTTAGGGCAGGGAGACCAGGTGACCCCGATGGGCCACGGGGTCAGTAGGTGACCCTGGGCACGGAATCTTGGTTCCTGGTGGTGCTGAATCCACACCCTCGTTGTCACAGTAGGGCCACAGCTGTCCCCACTCCTCTGTAGTGAAACAGCTCTGTCTGGTCCTCTCACCTCCTTCTTTTGTCTTCTCTCCCAGTCTCAACATGTGCGTTTTTCTAAAAAGCCTTAAAAGAAACCACCGCGCCAAGCCCCAGTCTGGCGTTCTCTCTGCCCGGTTCCCTGAACGAGGCCAGTCTCACCCTGCCACCTGTCACCTGTCAACAAAAGGCTGGTTAGGAGGGTTTCCAGGATGGCAGCTGCAACTCACACCCTTCAGAATAATCGCCTTGAAGAGGAAAATGGATGGTCAGCTCTGGGTGATGTTCAGTATCATGTCACGTCATAGACCCTGGCTTTTCTGTCTCGCATGCCATCAGGCAATGCCCAAGGCAGGCTGAACGCACTAAAAAATGGAGAAAATGGTGCTCCCGGGGCACAAATCCCGCTCCCCATCGTCCACGAATGAGCCGCCGTCTGGGTCACACAAGACAGGAAGGCACGGCCACACTCCCACGGAGCTTACAGTCCAAGGGAGAATGAAGAGGTATAGACGCACTGGACAGAAAAGAGGTGGTTGCCCGCAGGGGCGGCAGTTCAAGAATCATGTGGTTAAAGGAAGACAGTGAAGGTCTAGAAAAGCCTTCTAGGGAAAAACAAGGAACTTGAACTACATTTGAAAGGATGAAACTCGGGGCCGGAGGTGGTGACAGACCTGTGTCCCTCCGGCCGCTTCACCTGCAGCCCGGGGTTGTCCCAGTCTCCAGCGAGTTCCAAGAGAAAGTTCATGCCATGCAGCGGGTTTCTCCTACCGAAGACCGCACCGAAAATTGCAGACAGGACTCAACGGTGGGGAGACTCGGACTGGCGGCAGACCCCTGGGCATTCCTGACCATGCGCACCGAGTCCCCAGCTCTGGTGGGGGGACACGCAGCCTCCCCACCTGCGGGCTCTGAACAGCTGGAAAGAACAAACAAACTGGTCATTCCCACAGATAATTCGAGAACCTCGACTGGGTTGCTCTTTATTTACCGTCGTAGCCAACTTTAAGGAGGGTTCATACGAATTTTATCGGCGCTGCGCTGTTTCTGGCTGCTAATGTATTTACAGAGTTGCCGCTGCTTCTTCCTGCGACCGGATGTCATTACAGGAATAAGCTCTCACTCCCACTCGGGGCAGTCTGCCCCAGACTGGTCCTCAGTGGGAGCCTCGTCTGCACCGCCACTCTCTGTCCGTCTGTCTTTTCATTTTCCGGTGAGGGTTTTCTGTTGTGTTCGTCCCCGTTTGGGTGCCGTTCTTCATCTTGGACCTTTTCTCTTCTCTCTGCAGATGAGCACACACTGCACGGCCCGGTTTTTATTCAGGAACCAAGTCATGTGATGTTTCCTCTGGGCTCCGAGGAGAAAAGAGTGAAGCTCAGTTGCCAAGTTCGAGGGAACCCCAAGCCGCACATCAGGTGAGTGGGTGTGAGTGCATGCGTGTCCGCACGAGCAGTGTCTGTGCTGAGCTCAGCAAACGCGCTTTCGGGGCCCCGATGGCGTACAGGGGCTCCAGGCAGGTACCCAGGCCACATCTCAGGGAGCAGGGAGACGTCTCTGCCCATGACCAGTTCAGTGCCCTCCTGCTGTGGCCGGCAGCCTTAGAAAGTAAACATTCTGGTTGACCGTGACACAGAAAGCCTTACCATTTCTTAACAACATGTATCTTCAAAAACCAGCTTATTAAGATGCATCCACGTATGGGCAGGAAAGTAAAAACCATTCAGCAGTCACAAAGGACATGGGGCTGGGACCCAGAGAAGAAAACTGGGCACTATAGACAGGTTTGCACCCTGATGGACTACATGAACTTGACCTTGGATACGGCGGCTTCACAGGGCACTGGGGTCGCAAAGCCTCAACTCAGCCAAGACGAGGGTCAGCGTGAGAATCACTCCCAAAGACCAGGACCCCAGGGCTCTACCCTCAGCATAACTGTGACGAGGACGGCATCTGCTTCCCCCCGAACGAGGGGCTGCCAAGCAAAAGGATTTGCCTGTTCGTCACACCTGCCTGGGCGCCGTGTGGTTTTAGCTGCAGAGCAGACACAGCTGAGCAGAGAAACAGCGACCAGTGAGATCCACGTGCAGAAGATGCCTCCCCGAGGCCGTGGGAGGCGGTAAAGGGAAGCGCAATAGAGAGAGAATGTTCACGTGTGTCTGCCAGAGCCCCACACGGAAAGGCTGAGAGGACGGGGAAGGGACGGTATTTAAAGAGAAGGCTAAGAATTTCCTCCGCTAACTCAAATTTCCAAGCTATACATTTCAGAATTCCAGTGAAATGAATTCAGTGCGAATAGAAAGACAGCCTCTCTTAGAACGAGTCCAGAAAACACGGGACACCACGTGCAGGGCGCAGTCACACAGACGCAGTCGTGACACAGGCCTCCTGAGGAGGGACCATGGAACCAGCGCCGCTGATGAGTCGTGACCCAGAGGCAGGGTCGCAAACAGAACCCACAACGTGAGGAGAGAAAGCAGCGCAAAGTTCTCTGCACCAGAAGTGCGGTTTTAAATGGAGAAAAAGATTGGTAAGGTTTTGAGTAGACCCTGAAGATAGACTCAAGCACACCTTCCCTAAAGAAAATGCTTAAAAATATATAGTTAAGCCCTGGCTGGTGTAGCTCAGTGGATTGAGCACGGGCCTGCGAACCTAACAACCACAGTTCGGTTCCCATGCAGGGCACATGCCTGGGTTGCAGGCCAGTTCCCAGCAGGGGACACATGAGAGGCGACCATACATTGATATTTCTCTCCCTCTCTCCTTCCCTTCCCCTCTAAAGATAAATAAATAAAATCTTATATATATAGTTTAAGCAGAATAAAAGTGACCCCAGGTACAAGAAAAAATGATATGAAAAGCAAGTGGTTGAGGTTAGTATTTCCACATAAAAATTAATTGCACTAAACAATAAAAAGAATAAAGACAATGCTATCTTTTGCAAAGACATAAAAATTAAAAGTCGTGACCATAACAGAAATACATTGGAAAGAGATATACTGCACAATGAATTATGCATATGGTTAAAAAATGAAATAAAGTGGCACCCTTATCTCTCACTGTATACAGGTGATTAGAAAACCTACATGAGAAATTACAGCACTTTTAAAAGAAAACAGACATACATATTTATGACTTTGAAGGGAAGAAAAGATTTCTCAAATATGACAGAAAATATTTAACTTCATTAATATTAAGAACTTTTGTTTGACAGAATTTACTGAGATGAATAAAATTACAAGCTTCCAACTGGGAAAAGATATATTTGGTATTATCACTGGCAAAAGATTAATATCCAAAGAGTTTAAAGGATCCCCAAAAATCTAAAGAAAAACAATAGAACATTACCAAAAGACTTAATTAGGCATTTCTAAGAAAAAGAATATCCAATATCCATTAAATGTATTGACAGATAATTGGTGCCATTAGTGAGCAGAAATATATAAAGTAAAAGGGCACACCCTTTCAAATACGACAGACTGATGCATTTAGAAGACTACATTTACTGTAATATAAGTAACATGAATAGACAGAACCTGGCAGGCTCACACCAGGTGATCCGGTGGGAGCGAACGAGCCACAGTTGCCACCCAGCGCGTCTCAGAGACACAATTCTGAGCAAACAGAGCGAGTCACAGCAGAACACAGACTGTAATTTCCTGTTCGCAAAATTCGAAAGCCGGTCAGCCAGGGCAGGTGTCTCAGGACACTCCCGTACACAACAGAGTCGTCTTGGAAGTCAAGTGACTGGACCCCTAAAATTAAGTCATAACTGCCCACGGAGAGGGGAGTGAATAAAAGCAAAATGGAAATAGAAGACTTCTGAAGTAAGGATATTCCTTTTCTTAGACACAGCTCTTTATTGCCGTGATTCTTTATAACTTACGAGCATCTTGTGAGCGTTATTTTGCCTCTATTTAAGTTTAATGATAAAAACCTCAAGCAAAAAATCGATGTACAGCAGCGTGTGAGAACCGGGAGGACTCACCGCATTCGCCGCATTGAAAGGAGGAAGAGGCTGGGCCACTCACGGGGATTCACGGTAGTGGGGTGGAGGGCAGAGGACATCGCCCCACCCGAGTTAGGGGAGGGCGGAAGGGCACTGTGGAGGCCCCTTCACAACTTAGTTGCTTCGCCCACCCATTCATCAAACACATCATCATTCATCAGGCTGCCCTGAACTTTCAAACTGCGGATTCCAGAGTAGGCGGCCCGGCCTCCCACTGGGACACACACCAGGATTCTGGACCCTGAAGAGCGTGGTGTGCAGGCAAGGGGCTTAAGCCACCGTGTTGAACAGCTGCGATGTAGCAGGACCACGCTAGGCTTGACCTGTGCGAGCAGCGTGCCCTGAGGGGGGAGGCGCGGGGGCGCTGTAAGTGCCGTCCAGAAGCAGGGGCTCCAACAGCTCCCTAGTGGACTGGGCCGTTCACGTGGACAGACAGTCATCCAGATCAGGACACTTGGCGAGAAACAGGCCACTGTCCGTCATTATTCCAGGACTGCAGGTGTGAGCCGGCACGGTCCTGGGCCAGCGGAATAGGCAGCGATTTTCCCTAACCGGCTGGCACCGAGGCCAGATCCAAAACTCCAAAATGCTTGGTGTGGTGAAAACTAAATGCAGCGGGTGAGGTTCCTCCACACAAATGCCGAGTTAAACGGCCTCGGTTCTTAGTCCACAGCCAAGTGTACATGCACGTGCTGGCTATAAAGGGAAACAAATTCTGCAGCAGGGTTTGGCAGATTGCTGCTCGGTCCCTCTCCCAGCAGTGACCTTTCATGAACGTTACATTTGTAGCCCTGTGTTCGGAGATGTAGGGGCTCCATTCGTTATTTAAAGCCAGCCCGGGAAGAGAGCCCGACCGTGTCTTTAAAGATCGCCAGAAGAAGCCTGAAGAAAACTTTTCATCACACACACCAGCAACTGCTGGCAGCCGTACCTCGTTTTTCTCTGGACCTTCAGCAGTTTCTCTGTCACTTAAAAGCTCACTGGTCCCTGGAACTAAAAACCCAAACTGGAGGACAGAGCAGGGGAGGACGCTCCAGGGGAGTGCCTGGAGAATCGGCCTCTTCAGACCCCTTTCTGCTGAACTTCCTCCGCATCCGGCCGACTTCCAGGCCAAGCGACTGTGGGAGGCTCACCAGGTGAGCGTCCCCCCAGAGCTTCAGAGGTGTCCCTTCCCCAGGGGCTTTGTGCTCCCCCCCCCCCCCGCTGAGCCTGCCTCTTTCACCTCCCTGGCCCCTCGATTTCAAAAAGATTGGCCCAGACCCAGAAAACTTGAAGCGGTTTTGACTGGTGCCAGCTGCCCTCATAGGAAAGTCTTCTGAGGACAGACAGGTGGCATCACTTGCGGCAGGCACGCAGCAGCCACACACAAGCGAGGGTCATGGACTTGGAGTAGTTCAGCTGTGCCGTTGGTGTTCGGCCTGGTGTGCAGACAGCGGATTCCAAGCCAGAAAGGTCCTGCCCTTCTTCCCCGCGGAGCTGAGAGAGTGAGCGTGGAAAGAGGGCTTTGCGGTGACAGATGCCCCAGACAGCCTCCCAGCCAAGTCCAGGCGTGACCCCTTCGGAGCTCCGCGCCCGGTGCTGGGCCGTGCACAGCCTCCATCCGTCTCTGGAGAGAATGGCTTCTCGGTTTACAGTGGTTCGGAATCAGCTTATGAGACTTACCGATTGGCCCTTGGGAAAGTCTCCTTGGTTCGAGACAGGCAGCACCGCTCTGTTACCAGTACTTAAGACGTCCTCTAACACTGACGACACATGGTGACATTTTCGAGAGTGTTGCAGGGTGTGATAAAAGCATTCGGTGCAGCCCACATCCAAGTGGTTGCAGAAAAACAGGCACATTGCTTTGCACTGGAGACCCAGCTGCATTTCTCAGCAAGCACTGCAAGTTCTGCACAGTCCCGACCCCTTTGCTCTCGGTGCAGCAAAGGTGAGGGGGCGCAGGGGCTCTGCGCCTGGCATTTGGATGGAGGTGGCTGGTGCGGACGGACCTGGGAGGTGCTCTTCTAAAAAGCCTCACAGGGTCGTGTACCTGAGCTCCGTGCTCAGCTTGCAGCTCACATTATTTTGCAATTTCCTCTTTGGGTTCTTAGGTTTGTCATATGAAATTGCTCAACTATCATTTGAAGTGAGAGTTATGGCTGAGACGTGATCAGTTGACTCAAAAAGAAGAAAAAAAAATGTTGAAGGCAGGCAGTCAGCGGGAGATTCATGCACACACAGACCTGCCGGAATAGAACCCGGCTGCTCCCTTTTTATTGCTTATTACTTCCTTGTCTGTGTCAGAACACAGAGGGAATTACTGTCAAGCCCGAGAACAAGGTCCATCTCCAGTTCCCACCTTCTCACAGGCAAACACACAGAGAGAGCTGCGTCCGCTCGGTGCTGCTGGCTCCCCTCCCCCCGCACCCCCCATTCCGGCGTTTTCCATTTCAGAGACACAGGTGAGGGCAGACTCCCACCTCTGTGCTGGGGCGGGCTCCTCGCTTCCTGCATTGTGTGTGGTCAAAACAAAAACTTCCAGCAAAGGAGTAAAATGTTTTGTCCGGTTCCCAGGCGTTTATGGAGCCCGGCGAGAGTCCCGAGCTCTGGGTTGCTGAGGGGAGAATCTGGAAGTGACCCGGGCACGTTGTGGGCAGTGTAGGCAGAGCTTCTGCAGAAAGGAGACTTCTAGAGGGAGAACGGGGAGACGTCCGACTGAGCTTGACTAGGAATCGTGAGGAAGACCTTTCTGGAAGAGCCGCCCTCCAAGGTGACCTTGACACGTGTGAGGGGTCATTCTTTAAACACCTGCATTTGTTGGGAGGAAATACCCAAAACCTTGAAACTGGCCTGCTGTGTGTCACTTGTGTCCTCCGTTGCCATCGCGCGCTCTGGCCTGGAGCCCAGAAGACGCCCGCTCTCCGCGCCCCACTCAGCCCTGTGCTGCGTGTCCCCGTCTGTCCCCCAGCGCGGCTGCTTCTCCGAGACCGACGCCTGTCTGACCGCTCCCTGATGCTCCGCCAGGATTCGGGAGGGAGGAGGGAAAAAAATCACACAGTTACTGAATTGTATCAGCTGCAAAGTTTCTAAGCGTTCAGACGACTTCCCCTGGTTATGAGAACTTCTCTTTGGAATGTTATTGGATATATAAAAAAAGAGATTTTGTTAATAAAGATTTGCCGTTTACATGCGTGTGCACTGAGGCTGATTTCTTGAGCCAAACCCAGCAGTCAGAGACACAGAGGCGCCAAACACACAGAGGACACACTCCCCTGGCCTCTGGCCTCTGTGGCGGAGCCGCAGCTTCTGGGCCCACCAGTGGGCGCTGAGATGCCCATGGCCAAGGCCGCCCCTGGGGTCTGCAGTGAAGGCCCCTCCACGCCAGCTCTGCGGCCCCTGGGCTCCGTGGGCGGCCATTTCAGTGGTGATGAGGACCAAGCGAAGCAGCCCCAGGGCGGGTTCACGGGCTACTCCGCAGTCCACCCGTCACCTGTGGACACCGTCAGCGCTGACGGCCAGCCCAAAGGGGCCTTTCCCCAAGGAGCCCTGTTAGGGCAAAGGTGTACAAGGTGCTACACGAAGAGTCGAACAGAGAAAGAAAACAGTGACGTTAAAAACAGGGTTAACACGGCAATGCCATTGTTCACTGTGAAGGACACGCTAACTCGGTAGCATTCAAAGCTGCCCCCACTGCTGGGGAAGCGTGTCTGATTTTTTGGCCGAGGTCGAGAAGGTCGGGATGATTTTGCATGCTGTGTGTGGTGGTGCTTATGTGTTTGGACACTGTGGCGATGTGGATTGATATGACAAGGCTTTATCTCCCGGCATTTCTGTGCTATAGGTGGAAGTTAAATGGAACAGATGTTGACATAGGTATGGATTTCCGCTACAGTGTTGTTGAAGGCAGCTTGTTGATCAATAACCCCAATAAAACCCAGGATGCGGGGACGTACCAGTGCGTAGCAACAAACGCCTTTGGAACAGTGGTTAGCGGAGAGGCAGAGCTCCAGTTTGCTTGTAAGTAGCGATTGCGTCACGCAAAAATGTCACTGTGAGTTTTTGTGCCGCGGTGCCAACACGCTTCGGAGCCATTTCTCTCCAAAAGCCGAATGGGTTTTAATTTGTTACGTGATTGTCTCTACCCCTTGCTCACATTTTGGAAGTGGCCCGTCCGTAGATAAATTATAGACCTGCGTGGGAAGACAGATGTGCCCTGTTTCCATGTCCGCTGAGATGTTTTCCCAACGTGCTGGTTTGGTTCTCTGGTACTCAGCCCTCATCACCCCCACACACTCAAATTCACACACACAAAAATTACACGCACACACTCGTGTGTGTGAACAAGCGAACAGACTGCCACTCACCCGATACTCGGTGTGGGAAGTATTTAACCATGAAGCCCCGTTACGGAGGCCTTGGTCGTCTGTTCATTTTATAATTCTCTAACTTTTTTCTTACTATATAAGTTGGGAAAATTTTAAAAACGACTATGATAACTGAAACTTAAGACAATTACAGTTAGCTTTATATTACACCCTTTATGTTTCTAATTTGGAACACTTTTGAAAACCATTTTGCCGTCTCTGAACACAGCCAGCCGGTGAAGCCCACGAGGCCGCCCCAGAGCGCGGGGTTAGGAGCGGCGAGTGGTGGACAGCGCTGTGGGCCGGCGCGGCGGAGGTCCTGGAGTCCGGGACCTCCGAGGACTGGTGATCAGCTCTGGTTCCCAAGGTTTACGCATTTGCATATGGTTGTGTTTCTTCCTGTAAAATCCCGGCTCCTAAAGCAGTGCATTGATGTCGAAGGTTTTCTCATCACCAAGTCCGGTAGCGGTGACACTGCAGAACATCCTCACTAACAAAATCCTCTCTGGGAACTCTACATCAAACACACCTAATGCCCGGCGCTTAATCCGTGATTGCCATCCGGTGGCGCTTGTATGAGCTGAGAAATGAGTTTTCCAGGTGCGAGACATAGATGGGACTCCAGGACGGCTTTGTCTGTGAGCACCCTGGTCCTCCCAGGTGCGCGGGGTGGCAGCAGGGCGTGTGTGTGTGTGTGTGTGTGTGTGTGTGTGTGTGTGTGTTCCTCTAGGTTTAATGCATGTCCAATAGCGACACTTACTTTTCAGCAACAACAAGTGTGTTTTGTTGGATTCATTTTGGAAAGTGATCACAGAATCATCGACGCATACAGCAGGGATGATCTGTCTTCAGTGACTCTTGTTCTTTTTTGATTTCCGTGCTTATAGTGGAGGGAGGTTTTCAAAACAGCAACACTAACCACAACACAAAAGAGGTTGCACCACGATGTTTTGTTTTTCTAACTGTGATCCCTTGTTTTTTTAAATCACTTGTTTTTTAAACAAGGGACCGAGGCTTAGGCCTCCCCTGAGACAGAGTCCAGGCATTTCTCCCACACTGAAATCAGAAAGAATCGCAAAGGCCAGTCATTTAGACACAACGGTTCAGCCACAGCGGAAGCTCTGTCGCTGATTCTGTGGGCGAGCGGCCCGCAGACCAGTGTCGAGGACCCCCTGGCTTGTCCCACTTCATGAGTGATGTAGGCATCCGACCCCCCCGAGCCCTGGGCTCCTCACGGTTTGGCCTGAGAAATTCTAGGAATGGGGAGCTCAGCTGTTCCGACCAGAGCGGCACGCTCCGGTTGCTCCAGAGCACAGACAGACCCAACGTCCCCCCTAACATTGGGCCAAACGAGCACATTTTCACCACTTTCCCTCTGTGCCTCCTGCAGGGTTGTGGGTGGGCCTTTAACTCTGTGAAGCTGTGGCCGTGGCCCTTCAGCCCCGAGCCCCTCTCTCTTCCTGGTGCTTCATTCTCAGCCGTCCTGCACACAACACGCTTGGTTACGTTCGCCGAGACCCTGTAGAGACACACTCTCTCATGCACCTTGACCCTGCAAAGGACAGTGGGGACCGTAGCGTCCCGTGATGGGAACCTGGTTTTCCATGAATGCAGTGCCAGTGACACTCGCTTGTCTTAGAGCCCCCGTCTCCTACTGAGGCCGTTTATTTTTTATTTTTTATTTTTATTGTTCAGTTACAGTTGTCCCTGTCTTCCCCCGTTACTCTCCCCTGCCATGCCCACCCCCAGCTCCCACATCCAGTCCCTCCCCCTCACGGTCTTGGTCCGGTGGGTCCTTCAGTCACGTTCCTTGACGACCCTTCCCCTTCTTTCCTCCGTCACCCCCTTCGTACTCCCCCGCAGTTACTGTCAGTTTGTTCTTTATTTCCATGTCTCTGGTTCTGTTTTGCTCACTTGTTTTGTTGATTAGTTTCCAGTTATGGATGAGACCACGTGGTATTTGTCTTTCACCGCCTGGCTTACTTCACTTAGCACAATGCTCTCCAGACGCACCCATGCTGTTTACGGGTAGGAGCTCCTTCTTTCTCTCTGCTGCACAGTATTCTGTTGTGTAAATGTACCAGTTTGTTTACCCACTCAGTTACTGATGAGCACTTAGGTTGCTTCCAGCCCTTGGCTACTGTGAATTGGGCTGTGAACATTGGGGTGCATAGGTTCTTTTGGATTGGTGTTTCAGGGTTCTTAGTGTGTACTCCCCACAGTGGAATCGCCAGGTCGAAAGGCAGTTCCACTGCAGCTGTTGAGGAAACTCCACACTGTCCCCCACAGCAGTGGCACTGGCCTGCATCCCCACGAGCGAGGCGCGAGGGTCCCCTTCTCTGTGTCCCCACCGACACTTCTGTAAAGTCTGAGGGTTGATTTTTTTCATCGATGTCAATTAATCCTTAGCTGCCCAGTTGTGTTAATACCCTAGATTCAGAGCATTCTCTTTACCCCTTTTAAATTCACCTTCTGATTAGTGACCCTTGGCTCCATCCAAGTTGAAATTGAGTTCAGTTTTTTTTATCTGACATATTGATTACTCTCCTTTAGTGTCAGTGGAAAATTTGATGAGCCCATGCCCAGCCAGGCTACTGACACAGCACAGCAGCCGGGACAGGCTGCCTGCGGGCGGACAGCCTCCCCGTGAGACGGGAAGAGCTTCGCCGTCAGTGTTGCTCGCGCACTGGGTTTGGCTGGCTGCACGATCACCCAGACGCGCTCCAGCTACACCCCGGCTTCTCCTCCTGCTTCCAGTCACGAGGTCTGTGCCAGACGCCGCCCTACGATGACACACTGGTTTGCAGAGCCTGCCCTTCCCCGGTCCCCATGTGTCACCACCAGGTTGTCTCTGACCATGTGTCACACATCGGCCAGGGTCCTCTCCTTGCAGACGTGGCCACCCCACGCTCCCGCGAGCTGCACACCTCCCCCTGCATCTAGGCTAGGTCTCAAATTCATTGCCACGGCCTCATTGTAGTTTCTCAGGAATGACAAATGGGGCCGTGATATGTGGGTTGCTTTTGTCCCGGTCCGTGGTCATCTCTGTGACCCTCAGGTTTCAGCTGAGGTGTGACATCCTAACACAAGGTTTCTGCATCACCCCGTCTTGCCAGAAGCACTTCCCTCATTTCCCCTCCACCCACCTTCCCCCGCCCCTCTGCCGGCAGAACAGCACCTCGATTTTGTTCGCTAGGACTTAATACAGCCCGGGATGACTTTGCGGATTCATTTATTTCTCACTATTGGACTCCTGGGAGGAGCCGTGTTCTGAGAGCCGAGACTACCTGGCCTGCCCAGCGTCTCCAGAGCCCAACATTCGATGCGTGTGAATAAAGGGATGCCTTCATTAAATGGCCTACACAGCAGCACAGCCAGGAAAATATATGTCTAAAGTCAGTTTGGGGACAGTGAGTTTTATAAACCCACACCCTGCCCTGGCTGGTGAGGGTCGGTGGATTGAGCACTGGCCTGTGAGCCAAGGGGTTGCTGGTTCGATGCCCAGTCACGGCACCCTTTCTAGTCCAGACAGTTCCTGGAGTTAAACTCTTGATCATCTCCCTACAGTTTTTAGACTTCTTTTTTCTTCCTTTTTCATGAAAAAGAAAATCAAAAGATATGCCTGGATTCAAGTCATTTTTTAAAAATATATTTTTAAGATACTTGGGAAGGGAAGGAGAAAGACAGAGAAACATCAATGCGTGGTTGCCTCTCACATTCCCTATACTGGAGACCTGGCCTGCAACCCAGGCATGTGCCCTGACTGAGAATCGAACCAGTGACCTTTTGGTTCATACGCCCACACTCAATCCACTGAGCTACACCAGCCAGGGCTCAAAAGTCACTTTTAAATGGTTGGAATCAAACCCTTCTCCGTGAGGTTAGGGGAAGTGAGGCAACAACGTCTTCTGCACGTCCCTCCCGAGTCACTGCTGTGACCCCAGCATCCCCAGGGTCATGGGGACGAGGGAGCCTTGCCCGTGACCCCACGTACTGCACTGCAACTCGCCAGTGAGGGCGCTGTACTTTGAGTCACATCACTTTACGGCAGCAACGACCTTTCGGGCTTCTCGGCCAGTGTCTTCTCAGAGATGCACGTGGAGGTCAGAGCCGGTGCACGACTGGGTGTTAATGGCACAATGCATAAGGGACAGCAAGGACGGCTCGCCTCTGCTCCAGGCTCAGCGCCCCCAGCCCACCCCCGCCCCTGCTTCAGGCCCACCTGGGTTGTGAGCCACACACTCCTCCCTCCTCACCTGACAGGTCGCGGTTCTCAGGTCTCGTCCCAATACTCCGTACCACATCATCCATAGGGTAGTCTGGTAGGTTAGACGTTGCTATTCCGACGTCATGAACTATGTTTTAAAAAGCGGTTTTCTTGCTGCGTTTGTGGTCAGAATTTGGCAGTCTCTGCTTCGTCAGTTGAAAAAGAAGATTCCTGTGAGCAGTTTCTGTTCATGGAGGCGAGGGCTTCGAGAGCCCGCCCCTCCCCCAGCTTTTTCCAGGAAACCTTTGCCCCAAAACCCTCCCCAGAGGGAAGGGACAGGTGAGCAGACAGCCTGGTGATAGAATTCAGAGCCCATTTCCTTTGTCCTGGGGCCTGTTTCTGGTCGCTGCCACCAATCCCCTCGGCCCTCGGAGCTGGATGAATTA